CGTTGTATTTGTAAATTGCTTTGGGTAGAATTGTCATTTTCACAATGTTGAGTCTGCCTATCCATGAGCATGGTATGTTTCTCCATTTATGTAGATCCCTTTGGGTTTCACCCAGTAGTGTTTTGTAGTTTTCTCTGTATAGGTCTTTTACATCCCTGGTCAGATTTATTCCTAAGTATTTTATCTTTTTAGGGGCTGAAATTTTTTTTTTACAAAGTGAATAAACACCTGACATTAAGCGTCAAGGTAAGTGTTGAATATGAGCACAGCAATGTGCTCCAGACGGGTTCAGAGTCAGGAGACCTGGCAGTGCGGAGCGGCGCCTTGATCCTGTGCAATTACTTGCATTTCCTCCCAGCATGGTATGTTCAAGAGTTTCATAAACTGTACATCTGCCAGTTGCTATTGTTTGATAAAGTATAAATGTTCATCTAACACAGGTTCAAGACACGGGGAATAAACTTTCTGTGTGACCTTAAGCAAAACAATCTCTGTGCTTTTTTTTTCTCCTCAGTTGTAAAACTGGACGGTTAGACCGCAAGAACATATAACGGGGACTTATTATATGGAGAATAGAAATGTCTGGACTTTGTTACTGAAGCGGGAAGGTCTGAAAACCCTGCCTTACTGAATCTCTCAACCTATTATTGGGGGAGGGGGGTTAAGCTACCTCATTAGACATGAGTCCTTGCTAGGTTCTTTAATATCAGCCTTACTTTGACTATCATAAAACATTCAGATCTTCCCTATTTACATTCCATCTGCTGCCAGAGAATTCAACCTCAAACTCTCTACTGTCCTGTTTTAATCAAAAGATCAACTGTAAGAAATAAATTCACAGAGGACTTCCTGAAGGACAATTCTTTTTTGTGTGTGGTTTCTTTTTTTTTTTTATTGTGGTAAATATATATGTAACAAAATATTCGCATTTCAACATTCTTCACACGTACAGTTCAGTGACATTATGTTTATTGTGTTGTTCGACCATTACCATTATCCATTTCTAAATTTTTCTGTCACCTTTAACAGAAGCTCTGTATTCCCTAAACAATGAGTGAAGGACAATTCTTTTATCCTTATCAACATCTAAATTCTACTCTAGGGTCAAGCTGGCCTTTCAGAAAGTACTATGTGAGGCATTTCTCTGACCTTTCACAAAATCATCTTTAATGACTTGGCTTTGGGTTATGTCCTCAGCTTATATTAAGAGGGCAATAAGCCACAGTCCTGAGAGGCTTACTATTGTGTTATCAGAGGGACAATGTTAAAGACATTGTCCACTACAACTTATTGCTCTCTTTACGAAAACCCAGAGGAGAAATTACTGCGAGCAACTGTATGAGGTTTCTGTATGTAGGGCACCCTTTGTTTAAATGAACACAATAAATAAATGAGGTGGGGGTATAAACTTTTTAAGAAAAATAATAAC